AAAGAAGCCAAAGCAGTTCACTGGGGAAAAGACACTTCACTCACTGCTGGGACAACTGCACATATGTATACAAAGAAAGAAGAACCTTGCACGAATTACAAATATTAACTTGAAATTGACCAGTAATCTCAATGTAAGAGCTCTACAGAACTTTCTACAGAACTTATGAGAAAACATTTTGTGATCCTGACTTAGAAGAGAAGCAGCACAAATCGTAAGAGGAAAAAAAAATCATAAATTGGACTTTATCATAATCGAAAATATCTGCTTTTTGGAAAATACAGGTAAGAGAATGAAAAAATAAGCTACAGATGCAGAAAACATGTGCAAAGAAATATCTGACAAAGGGTTCCCTTCTTTAAAACATTAAGCTTTTCTTAAAAAAGAGAAAACAATTTCAAAATGGGCACAATCAAATCACCAAAAAAGATAAATGAGTAGCAAAAAACACACAAAGATGCTCGATATCACTATTCATTAGAAATAACTGATGCAAACTAAAACTACTAAGTACGACCACACACCCACTATAATAGCTAATTTTAAAAACTAATGAAGCCAAGTGGTGACAAGATGTAGAACAACTGGAATTATCACACATTTCTGGCTGGAATATATAACATTACAACCACTGAAGTCTGACTGTTTCTTTTAAGGATAAACATACACTTACATATGATCCAGAAATTCTACTCCTAGTTAATTACCCTGAAGAAGTTAAAACATATACCTATATAAAAACTGTATGTGAGTGCTTATAGCAACTGTACTCATAATTGTGAAAAACTGGAAACACAAATACCATCAAGGGGTAAACAGATAAAGAAACTGGTTTTCAATGGAATATTACCTATTAAAGAGGAATGAATTACAGCACAGATATATCTCAAAACATTATGCTAAGTGAAGAAAGCCAGACACAAAGAGTACATGACATTCCTAAAAATGCAGAAAATATACAAGAAGAAATCATCGCCAGGGCCGGGGGTGAGAGAAGGGCACTGACTATAGAGGGGAATGAGAGCACTTCTGAGTACAGAAATGCTCTGCATCTTGACTGCAGTGCTGGTTATATGATATACATGTGTCAAAACACATCAAACTGTACATCTGAAAGGGTGAATTTTGCTGTTTGTAAATTATACTTCAGTAAGCCTAACCTTAGAAAGTATGCAGTCTTTTAAAGGCTTTTAATATATATTGCCAAATTGCCCTTCCATTAACTTAATTTCTTCTCCTACTCCCATTTAATTTACATTCCCACTGGCATTCTACAAGTGCCTGCACCCTCATCAGCTTCAATATCATCAAATTATTACTTTAGACTTTTCCAACTTGACAAGTTCTTTAAAAACTTTGCCTTACTGTTTTGATCTGTGTATCTCTTACTATTTAGTAATGGTGAATTTTTCTTCATCCATTTCTTGGACAAATTTTTTCTGTTCTGTTCATTACTTTCATCATTGTTTAAATAAGTACATGGTATTTTTCTTATTAAGTTTTTAGAGCCAAATATACTCAAATATTGGTCAAAAATATATTTCCCATATGTCTTTCATTTTTTGTTTCTAATATATTTTGCTTTTAATACTTTAAAATTTTAAATTTCTCAATATTTTCTAAGATTTTTTTCTTCTATATTTTTATGAATTTCTTCATGTAGAGTTCAGGTAAATATTCAACTATTTTTTTTCTAACTTTCTATACACAATTTTTGCTATCTTATAAAATGGCTACTAGCCACATGTGGTTACTTAAATTAAAATTTAAAAATTAAGCTTTTCCTCCATACTTTCTTTTGTTTTATGGCTTCAAGTATTATGTAAATCTTTAATCCACCTTTAATTTTTGGTGTAAGATAAGAATCCAATTTCATCTTTTTGCATGTAGCTGTCTAGTTTTTCCACGACCATTTATTGAGGAGACTATCCTTTCCCCCATGGTATATTCTTGGCAGCCTTGTCAAAGATTATTTGATCACAGATGCACAGGTTTATTTCTGGGGTCTCTATTCTACTCCATTGGTCTGTAACTGTTTCTATGCCAACAGTAAGTTTCATTTACTATAGCACTGTAGTATAGTTTGAAATCAGTAAGTGTGATGCCTCTAGCTTTGTTCTTCTTTCTCAAGACTGCTTTCACTATTCAGGGTCTTTTGTGTTTCCAAGAAAATTTTAGAATTGTTTTTTTCTCTTTATTTGAAGAATACCACTGGAATTTTGATAGGGATCCATTGGTTGACTGCTTGGGTAGTATGGACATTTTAATAATATTAACTCTTCCAATCCATGAACATGGGTTTTGACAATGATTTTATGCAATTGATACCAAAAGCACAGGCAACAAGACCAAAAATAAACAAGCAGAGCTACATCAAACTAAAAAGACTCCACATAGCAAGGGAACCATAAACAAAATGAAAAAGCAATGGGAGAATATAAATGGGAGAAAATCAATGGGAGAATATATTTTAAAACATATATCTGATAAAGAGTTAACATATAAAATATATAAGAACTCATACAATTCACTAGCAAAAAAACCAAATAACCCTATTAAAAATTAGGTAGAGAACCTGAATAGACATTTTTCTAAAGAAGACATAACATGTCCAAAAGGTATATGAAAGGTATGCAATATCAACTAGTCATCAGGGAAGTGAAAATCAAAACCACAATTAGATATCACCTCACATGTTAGGATTGTTATTCTAAAAAAGGCAGGAGGTAAGTGCTGGTGAGGGTACAGAGAAAAAGAAATTCTTGTCCACTATTGGTGGGAATGTAAATTGGTACAGTAATTATGGAAAGCAGCATGGAGATTTCTCAAAAAAATTAAAAATAATAATACCGTATGACCCAGCAATCAATTCTGGGAATACATATCCAAGGTAAAAGAAATAATTATCTTGAAAAGATTTCTGTACTACCATGTTACTACAGCACTATTCACAATTGCCAAGAAACATAAACAACCTTAGGGTCCACTGATGGATGAATGGATAAAGAAAAGGTAGTGTATGTATATGGCATGGGATATTACTCAGCCATAAAAAAGAAAAGAAATATGTAATTTAAAACAACATGGATGAACCTAGAGGATGTTATGCTAAGCAACATTATGTTTATTAACCAAACAGAAAGATAAATACTGTATGATCTCACTTATATGTGACATATAAAAAAAAGTGAAACATAAAATCATGGAGAACAGTGGTTGTCAGGAGCTAACAGGGTGGAGGAAATGGGGAGATATCGATCAAAGGATACAAACTTAGAAGATAAGTTCTGGAGATTTAATGTACAGCATGGTGACAATAGTTAATGCTACATATTTCACATTTGCTAGAATTATAAATCTTACACAATCTCACTGTAAAGCAAAACAAAGGGTAACTATATGAGGAAATGAATGTGTTAACTTGATTATGGTAATCACTCACAATGTATGTCTACTAAATCATCACATTGTACACCTTAAAAAAATAATACACAGCCTAAATCTATGCAATTTTTTTTTGGTCAATCATACCTCAATAGAACTAGGGGAAAAAAGCACACTGAAATTAAAAATTAATAATTAATTAAAAGTTAAATTAACAATTCAGTTCCTCAGTCACACTAGCCACATTTTTTAAAGACTCTTTTAGAGCAGTTTCAGATTTTGGTAAATTTAGAGCAATTTAGGTAAAAATGAATGGAAAGTTCAGTGAGTACTCATACACCCATTGCCCCTCATCCCCAGTACAACCTCCCCCACTATCACAGCAAAGTATTACACCATACACCACAGTATTACATCTATTACAAGGGATAAACCTACATTGATAGATCATTATCACCAAAAGTCAATAGTTCACATTAGGGTTCACTTTTGGTACTGAACATTCTACGGGTTTTGACAAATGCATAATGACAGGTACCCACCATTGTAGTACCATAGAGAAGAGTTTTACTTCCCTAAAAATACTCTGTGCTCCACTCATCATCCCTCTGTCCCCTCTAACCCTTGGTAATCACTGGTCTTTTAGTGTTTCCAGAGTTTTGCCTTTCCCAAAATGTTATATAGTTGGAATTATACAGATTTTCATTTAGTAAGGTTCCTTCATGTCTCTTCATGTTTCACCTGACTACTCATTTCTTTTTAATACTGAGTAACATTGCATTGTTTGGATGTACTACAGTTTATTTATCCATACCTTTTAAAGGACATCTTGGTTGTTTCAAGTTTTGACAATTGTGAATAGAGCTGCTATAAACATCTCTGTGTAGGTTTTTGTGTGGGTATAAGTTTTCAGCTCCTTTGGATAAATACCAAGGAGTGTAATTGCCAGATCATATGTTAAGAATATGTTTGTTTTGTAAGAACTAGATCATATGTTAAGAGTATGTTTGGTTTTGTAAGAAACCGCCAAACTATCTTTCATAGTGACCGTACCATTTTGCATTCTCACCAGCAATGAATGAGGGTTCCTGTTGTTCTCACCAGTATCTGTTGGTGTACAATCCACATTTCAAGAGCTCACTAGCCACATGTGGCTAATGGTTACCATACTGGGCAGTAACATACAGAATGTTCCCATTATCACAGAAAGTTCTATTGTAAATGTTGCTGTGTTTAAAACTTAATTGTTGATGCAATGGAACAGGAGCAAATATGACAGCTTTTAAGGTTTTTTCTCTGTATAAGTCCATCCCCTCTCACATTGGATTTTGATGTTGTTTTGTTGATACTCAGAAATTCAGATTCCTGCTTGGACACTTCTTAACTATATGCCCCTTAGCACATTACTTAACCTCTCTGAGTCTCAGTTTCCTCATCCTAATTACTAATTAGTTTAGTGCATTAAATTAGATAAGCAAGGTAAGATAAATTTACAACGTTCATCACATTAAGTCCTCATTTGTAAACTCTTTTAAGTTAGGAACTTATTTTTTGAATGTCACAGTATCATATTTTGAGGACCTTCACTGAAAGAAAAAACTTAATGCTATATTTACCTGATCTGGATTTCTGTAACCCAAAAGTAGATTTGCTGCCTTTATATCACCATGAACATACTCATTTTCATGTATAAATTCCAGTACATCCAACTGTGGAAAGAAATATATAAGGTTATTCTCATGTCTATTTAGAACTAATAATGAACTTGAACATTTTGAATATAGAACATGCATTTTTTTTCATATTAACAATGACAAAGTGTATCTTGCATGCTATTATGTATTCATCTGTTCTAAAATTTCACATGTACTGGTCACTAATCCTAGGAAAATGTTTAATGAAATGACCCTCAAATATCAAGTATTTTCACTGAACCTCCAATGGAAGGAAACCAAGATTCAACAACACCTATCCTTATGCTTCTGACAGCCTGTTGGCCAAATCACACTGTACATAAAGGAAAAACACAATATAATCAGAGGTCTAAAATAAAATCATGAAGCTCACTCAGCAATTCCCCACTCAAGCAATTATTATAAATCAAGTTTGGGGGACCCCAGAACCAAACATGAACACAGAGAAAGGCATTTTTCCTCTGTATAATAATAGAAAACACCTTACCTTCATCTTTGAAGCCCGTGAGCCTTGCACGTTACCTATACCTAGTGCCCAATAAAGATTTGCTGGCTGGCTAAATGGATGAATGAGAAAATTAATGAGTTTTACTTGCCACATCCCAACATGGCATGAGTAGTTTCATTCCATTTAAAATGGAAAAAATAAAATGGACCTTAGGCAAACCAAATACAAACAAGATAAGACAAATATGTGTTATGAACAAAATAGCATGGGTGCTATTAAGATTTCATTGCTTCTTATTTGGCAAAGTATATATTATTCATTGCCACACTAATTACTGCCATCAGCCCAAATTCATAATGAAAACTTTATAGAACCCCTCGTGTTTAGCATGAAAAAATAATACACTTTGCCATAGTTTGTATTATTATAAATATAACTGACAAAAAAGGTTATTCTTATAGCAATTTAAACTTGTTCTGATATGTAAAACAAAGCTGTGAGGAAAAAAATATTACACTGTAGAACCAATGCCTAATTGAGTTTGTAGTGCCAAACACAGCACATTCTGTCACTTACAGAGCCCATTCTTATCAATTTTACCAAAATACCCTCTACTCTCAATAACTGACATTTCTAGGGCAAAAATCCTTCATTCTTTAATAATTCCACAAAGGGCAATGATTTGTATACTGTAACAAGTAAATTAATTTGAAAATGAAGCATGTGAAATAAGTCATTCCTTCTTACCATTCGGATACCTAGCTGCAGGACAGTTGACTTTTTAAAAGTACCATTCTGGTCTGAGATCTTCTGCAAATCTTTTCCTAGTCTTTCCATTACCATAAATCTGTAACTATAAGAAGGAGACGTAAAAAAGAGATCTTAAGATAGCAATACTTGAAACTGTCTATTTATTAATTTGAAACAAGGAAAAATACCCCCAACCTAACAACAAAGAATGATGAAATCTGAAACATTAGAAAATGAATGTACATTAATAATCTTCCTGGTTTTTTGTGGGATTTTTTCAGAAAGATACTACTCAGTGTTTACTTTTCAGTTAGTTTTCTAGCAGAAGAGAATGCCGAGCTGTACAACTCACACAATAGTCTTTCTAAATTAAATAGTCCTGAATTTAATTCATTTAAATCATTACCTTCTTGCCATAGAACATTATTTGTCCATACAGAAAAATGTTACTTATATTTGTTTCTTGACCTTACACATTATATTTATTTTGTCTACATATTTATAAACATGCCATTTTTAATATACTTCTTCCTTTACTGTTGGGTACCTCTGCCCCTCTTATTCTCTTCACTTAAGTCCCCATATTAGCCCCTAATTCTGTATCTATGTATGTGTACACACATGAACACAGACATATAAGAATTTTTGTCCTTCTTTAAAAAAAATGTGATATTATATGCACCTTTCTGCATCATACTTTTTTCAATAGTATCTCACTGAAATCCTTCCAAGTCAACTGGGACAGCTGTAACTGATTTCTGTAGTAGGTTGCATATTACAGGATATGGATGTACCATGATTTACGCAGCCTTTCAATCCCCTACTGGCCAGCCCTTCACCTGTTTCAAGATTTATTTGCTCATTTTTATTTTCTTTATAGCATTTGAAAGACCATTTGAGCAAAGCACTGACCTATTTCCTCACCTAGAGAAACAAATAACATCATCCTAAAGGGCTAATGAAAGGACAAAAGCAGTATTTAACAAATGACAGAATTTTTCCTTTTTTTAAATCACTATTATTTATATGTGATGATTAGCCATATATGGTCATTTAAAAAATATTTATACAAATTCTCTGTTGTGCCTCTCCTTAAAAGATGGATAGATCTTAATTCTTATCTCTTCAGTATAGGATAGACTTAATGACTTGCTTCTAGAAAAACAACATAGTAGAAATGATGGGATATCACTTCTAAGATTAGATTTTAAAAACACTGTGACTTTCTTCTTGGATGTGTGTTCATGTGTGTGTGTGCGTATGTTGCTCTCTCTTTCAATTATCTGCCGTAGAAGAAGCAAGCTGCCACATGTTTATGTTACCTGATAACGTAAGCTTATGGAGAGACTTAGATAGTGAGGAAGTGAGGCCTGCCAACAATCACATGAGGAATGTAGAAGCAGATCTTCCTAGGCCTGCCAATACTGCTTAAGGGACCTTGAAAGCAGATCCTTCCCTAGGCAAGCCCTGAGCTGACTACATACTCATGAGAAGTCCCACCATCCAGGTAAGCCAGTTATAGATAAATGACCCATGAAAACTAAGATAATATTAGTTTATTGTTATAACCACCAGGTTTTGGGTAATTTGTTATATGGCAGCAGATAACTAATACATCACATAAAATAGTAATTCTTACATGCTAGTTAAATTTTTAAATATAACATTTTAAATATAAAATAGTAATAGGATAATATCTGATTATAAAAATCCCCTTACCTTCTTCCCTTGAATTCAGTAAGACCAGATCCATAAAACAGTGGAATTCCTAAATAATCAAGTTGTTTGACTTCTATCCATTTTTTGACTGCAGAGACAAATTTAGCAGGGAAAAAGATACACAGGTTTTAGAAATATTTCTTACTTTTTTAAAAAATTAAAGTATCACTGATATACAATTTTATGATGGTTTCAGATACACAACACAGTGGTTTAGCATTCACCCATATTATCAAGTCTTCACCCCCTCCATTGCGGTTACTGTCTGTCAACATAGCAAAATGTTATAGACTCATTAATTGTATTCTCCATGCTGCACTACCAACCCCATGACCTGTCTATATTGTGACTGTGAATTATAGTGCCCCTTAATCCCCCCTCCCTCCCCACCTACCCTTCCCAACCTGTCACCTTTGATAACCACTAATGTCTATTGCTGAAATATTTCTTACTTTTCATAGAGATAATACATATACCTAACCTAAATACAAATTAGACTTTTCAAGAGAATTTTTAAAAAAATCAAATATATATCTACCTAATGCCTTAAAATCCTATTACTATATAGATCTATGTATACATAAAATTCTATCACTATAAGTAATACAATTCTATCACCATAATTAATACAAAAACATACAGAACTTTTAAACTAAATCAATTATACCAAAAGTAGCCAGTCATAAAATGCCCTGGTCTCATATATACAAATGTTTCTATTTTTTTATGAAAAAATTCATTCTTATATGCTACTTAAATTTTTAAATATAATATAGGTTAACTACCAACAATAACTAGAAAAATGGCTTTTCTTCCCTATGAAAAATCTAAAGCCATGGTAGTCAAGAAAATGAACCTGGGCAGAAAACTCATCTTACTGTGAAATTGTTAGGCAGAAATTATTTTGATTAAATTTAGTTAAAAAAAATAAAATCCACTTAAACAATCAGGTAGATTACTTAATTTTTCACTTTTCTACCATATATGTTTACAGTTTAAGATTGCTCTCCTGATAAACAATCAAGTTTAATGGATTCTATTCGTCACCCTGATATAGTTTAAGCAGTTAGTAAAGACTACAGTCTTAATGTTTAGAAGGTTTTATTAAGGAAAATGAAGTTAATTGAAGCTAGACTCATCGTTCTTTTTCCTAAACGTAATGCAAAGACCTTCAATATATAGTTACTACTGACACCAACCTCCTTAAAACTTTACTTAATCCACGTATATCACAGTATTTATAAAATGTTTTTATTCTTTTTCAGCTTGACTGATAATCATTTCACATTCAAATTCTCTAACTGGTATTAGCAGTTCTAACATCTGCTATCCAGCTCCAATTAACTTACTGAAATTCAAGTGTCTCACACTTTTAACTTATTTTCAAAATCATCTTAATGTTTTATCATTTCTATACACTTTACCCTAATCCATTCTATGATCATTCCTTTCATTTATATATCTACTGCCCATTTTAATGTCTTTTCCTTAAATCCTTCCTATTCAAATAATTTTTTGTGCAAAGAACAATTTCATTGTATCTTTTACACTTAGAGAACTCGATAACTTAGATCGACAACCCAATATTTGGTCCAAAGTAGTAGAAACAACTTTGCCATGAAACATATAACCCATTATATATATATAATACCAGGATTTGTACAGCTTTATTTTTATACATTATGTTTATACTATTTTACAGTAAAATTCCTAATTTAAAAGAGTTTTCAATAAAGCCAGAAAAAAGACAAAAATAATAAGCTCACATTAGCAAGCATATATATGGAAGTAGTTTGCTAATTTTACTTACTACAGTTTCTTTTTGCAACTCTTTGATAAAACTTAAGTTCTGAAAATAACGGGCCATTTTCTTGATATTCCTATAAAAGAATTATTAATTTTATTAGAAAAATATAAATTAATCTTAAAGGTGGAATTGATATTTCAATGGTGAGAATGTATATACATATGTAATATATAATAGTACTTAAATCATTTATTATAAAACAAAGGCATCAGATTTCTACTAAATACCTCTAGATATTTTTAGATAAAATATAACTCTAATATCACTAGATATTTAGAAAAACACTAAACTCAAAGAATCTCATTTTAAAATTTAACATACTGTAGTGCTATCTCCATGCAGTCTTACTCATGAAAGTAGTCTTCTTATGGAAAGAACTTCAGGAAAGCACTGAGAATTGCATATACACACATACACAGACACTCAATGTGCACCAACATGTACATCAGGGGAGATACACTGCAACTATTCTGGTGGTTCATTCATAAATGATACCTTTACTGAGTGTCTACTGTATTTCATTCATTGTACTAGACACAGGAGATACAAACAAAAATAAACACATCCCTGCCTTTAAGGGCCTTACCACCTAGAATAGAGAGAAGATAAATAGGGAAGGGAGAAGACAGATAGTAGTAAGATACAAGGATGATAAATGTCAGTACAGAAGAACAAAATTCTCCAGTCTTTACATTTTAATAATGTGAAAATACATCATTACATTAGGTTTATTGATAAGTAAAATTATGAAAATTAAGCCAAGAAACATTTTGCAAAAATAAAGTAGAAAAGAAAAGTGTCAAATATATGTGAAGTACAAATTTAAGAGCATTACTTACCACTTTTATTACATGTCTTGCATCTTTTTCTGGTTTATTCATGGGGAAAGCTGCAGAACAGAACACAGTGGGGAAAAAAAGAATAGTTGTTCCCAATTACTAAATGCCTACTGTATCCCAGACACTGTGCTAGGCACTTAACATATATTAATTTTTCATATTCTCCCCCAAACCTCTTTTGATAGGTATGGTTTCCATTTTACACAAGATCCTATTAAGGGTTGACAAGTTGAATAATTTGGTCACTAAGTAGTAGTAGATTGGGGATTGAAACTCAAATCTGTGTGACACCATAGCCTACCCTCTTATCATAAACAATTGTTCAAAAATTCAAACATGGAAACCAAAGATGATATTAATCACATAGTTTGAAATGTAGGGAAAAATATTTTCTATATTTATTGTATTAAACCCAGCAAATGATATATAGTAAAATCCACTGATATAATTTTACTAAATTAAAATCTATGATAACTCATAAATGGAAACTGATTATAAGTGGAAAGCTCAGAACAATTTCTACTTGGCAAAATCCTAAAATAAATCAAATCAGTCTTCTAAGAATCATATTCTGAGTCTACTAATCAATTATTTCTAAATTAAAGAATACATATCTCATAAGATCATTTCATTATCTTACTTCATTTTATTATTTACCATTTGCACTTTAGATTTGGTAATTCAACTTCTGAAAATTCCACTGCACAAATTTTTAGATCAAATCAAATCTTCCACCTACATTATCTAAATTATTAAAAGATTACTCTTTTAAACTTTGATCAGAGAATGTGCATATTTATTTGTACTGTGAAGTCTAGAATTGTCATTCATCTATTCACTCTCCATCCATTTATTCCTTCCTTCATTCAACTAATATTTATTTATTAAGAAGGCACTGTGTTGACTTTTAGTTTGGATGATGTTTAAAGGAATATTAAAGGAAAAAAGGTGGAACTAGTTCTGACTATGTTTGAAATGACTATGACTGAATGATGTCACATAAGAGATTGAGAACAAGAAAAATTCTTCAGGTATATTTTCAGTATCTATCAAAACACTGCCCTCTTAATACTACTCCTAATATTTTTCCTTTTCTTTCTTCTCACTCTATCAACTTTTCTCTATTAATTCACATGACAGATGTAAAAAATATAACACTAATTACTAAGTGTATAAATTCTACTTTCAGTTGAGGCAATCTGTGCACAATTTTCTTAACCATTTTCTAAAATCTTTGATGTCAGCAATGCAATTAGCCAGTTGAAGAAATTACTTCAATTTTAGCTGACATTAGATACAAATTATGAATCCGGACCTCTTTAGGTAACAAAGAAACTAAACTTATTTATGTCAAATAAAGTTATTTTTTCATCTTTATTCCTGTAAAGTCACTCCATTTTTACCCATGCCATAGTCCCAGGGGAACTGCAAGATGAGTGGATTATCCATATCTAAGGAAGAAAAAAACTTAAGAAAGTATATACAGAAGAAGGTGTCCAGTCCTTATAGAGAAGAAGGGGTGAGCAAAGCTTTTCTTCCACCCTATAGCAAACTATTTTTACTAGTATGGTGCCCAAGGTTGGGGCAAAATACCCCCACCCTAACCCTTGGTCCAGTTAGTATAGTACTGCCTCTAGGCGATGGATGGTCTTTGCATCCTGAAGTAGACATTGGCAGAAACTTCCTACTTCTTATCTAAAAGCAAGTGGCCCCAGCAGCAAACAAATTTTTAAGTCCAATAGAACGTAAGAAGCAAAAAAGCACAAAAGGAAATTGGGAATTTCAATTAGATAAATAACTTATTTATGTTGCTGCTGGGAAAAAAATATCCAGCTAGCCCAATCTCCTGCTCCCTGCTGACTGCAATGAGTACATCCCAACCACTTTATAATCTGAATCTTTGTTTCATATCATTTCACACAAACATAATCATGTGTTAACATATTTGTGAAATACACCACCCTTGTCATCTGATAGCTACACAATATTCTCTACACACTTCTAAATCAGATTATATTGGAGGCTCTAAATCCAAAACCAATTGACTAGAAAGCTCCTGCAGATGAATGTTGAATAAATAAATTGTCCTAGTTACTACGGAGGTCTATTTACAGTAATCAATCAGTTAATTAATGAAACAAATATTTATTTTCTACTGTAAGCCAAGCCACATTCTAGCTAGTTAAGTTAAATGATGACAGAAAATAGACATGGTATCTGCTTTTATAGTCCAGTAGAGGCATCAGACATTAATCAAATACTCATACGCAAGTGTGAAACTGTAATTATAATAAATGTTAAAGGGACAGTTAGATAGTACTAAGAGAATGAATAATTTAATCTATATGAAAGAGAATGAACAAGAGTAGTAGAGAGGTGGTGACAGGCCAGATGTCAATCTAGTTAATAATTTCTGTATAATGAAAGGTTTTAAAAGCTTGAAGTGTAGCTAGAGGATAGGAAACACATATTTAGATTTGCATTCTGAACAGATCACAACTGCAGTATAGAGAACAGACTGAAGGAGAAACAGAGTAGACACTGACATATCAGTACATATTTAATTATGATCAGAGAACAGAGGACTATAGCCTGGACTAGAGTATCAATGGTAAAAAAAAAAAGAGAAATGAGCAGATTCCAGAGATTTCAGAAAGTGAAACCGATAGTACTTTATGATAGAAGGAAAGGGATCTAGTTTGGTTGGTTACAGCTGATTCATGTATCAGGGGTTAAAAAGAATGATCAACAACAGACAGTGATACTGTTGAAAGTATAGTAGTTTCGTTATCTTCATTTAAATTTCTGAGGCCTAATGACCTGATATAGAATACACTGTGTACACTTATGATATCTGCCTTCCTAGCATTTATTTTCTATTCATTGGGAACTCATATGATTTTTCCTTTGAGGAATCAAACTTCCTATTGGCCATGTGGATCTTGTACAGCTGCCTATCACAGTGTACCTTCCCTTTCCTCCCAGAGTTGGGCACATGACCAAGTCTGGCTAATTGGAACAGACAAGCCCACTAGCCACAGTAACCAGTTCAGAAAGGGAAAAATGTTCCAACGAGATAAAAAAAAAGTCTTCCCTCAGATTTGATGCTAAAATGTTAAGTAACATAAGATGGATCATAATCTGTAAGGATACCAAAACCCTAGAAATAGCAGTGGTCACTATCCTCAGCTAAATGCGAAGTCTGAATATCGAACAGTGAGGAAAGTATGGTAAAGGCAGGGAGACAGTAAAAGCCTTAGTGAGACTGCTTAAACCCCAGATCTATCCATACCTGAGGCCAGAAAAGCTCTGTACTATCAGTCACAAAAGTTAATAAACCCCTTTTTGCTTTAACTTCTGATACCTGCAACCAAAGACTTACATAGAATGCAACTGGAAAAACTAAAATAAACAGTGATAAAGAACGTCAACAGACCAGAACACTTATCGCACAGATTAACTATCTGCTTAAAAGACACAAGCAGAAGTATCAATAACGTATTCAGTTGTTTGCTCCTTGCAAACAACTGAATAAATCGGTTGTCATCAAAAAGCATCAGAAATCTAAAAGATAATGACTACGGGAATATATTAGAACTCAGAAAGAAAATCTGGGATAAGTTTGAATTTGGAATAGTCAAATACTGTAAACTACACATACAGATCTTCAATAGAATGTTCAAAAAATTGTATTATAGTATGGAATACACTGAAGTAAAGAAAATAAATGAAATGCAAATACTGTAGCAATATTGATACACCTGAGACATAATATTGCATGAAAGAAATCATGAAAAACAGAATGCATACTTAGGATTTTATTTATATGAATTTTAAAACCCACTTAAAATTGTATTTGTTTAGGGATGCATACATACATGTTATAATTATAATGAAAAATAAAATTAAAACCATTATCTAGAAAGTGCTGTTACTACTACAAGGGAGGGAAGAGATGTTGGAGCTTCTAGTTATGTTATGATACATGCTTGACCTGGATGGGGATTGTGAGTGTTTTGTTATAAGTTATACTTATTTGATAAATTAAATGTTAATGTTGTACGTACTTTTCTAAATATTTATATAATATATATGTAAAACCAATATTTAAAATCTAATGAATAGACAAAATGGTAGATTAGAGAAAACTAGAAAGAAAACTTGTGAGCCAGATTAAATAATCCAGAATTCAGTGACCAGAGATAAAGAGACATAAAATATGAAGAAGACATTATGAAATACCAAGGGAACATGTGACTGAAAAACAATTTTCTAACAAAAATTCCAAAACTATAGAATAGAGAGAATGGAGGACAGGTACTTTTGAATAAATAATGTCTGATAACTTTCTAACATCAATAAAAGTTATGAACCCTCATATTTAAGATCACAACAAAATATTTAGTTCCCAGCAAAATAATAAGTCTGTACTTCAGCTAAGTGTAGTCAAACTGTAGAATATTAAAGACAAAGTTCTAATAAGCAACATGATAGAAAGGAAACTATTACACTACATGCAAAAAATGACTACAGACTTTTCAATAGCAAGGGAACAAGAAAACAATTGAATAATACCTTCAAATGCTGAGCGAAAGCAATTATCAATCTAGAATAATATGCACTGAAAACTGACAGAAATAATGTATGGGCCAGAATATGTGACTAGAGTTAAAAAGTATTACAATGCCCATGTATTTATCCAGAAGAGATACTGATTAGCTTCACAGTTTGGTGAATCAAGACAGTATGCTAAGTTTACAGATAACCAATAAAATAATAGAAATAAAATTAATAACTTCAAAACCAGCATAAAAAAAGTTTAAACTAAATAAACACTTTTAATAAAGACAAGAAAGGAATAGTTTACAAATAGAAAAGATAATAAATACAATAGAAAATATGATAAAAGTAACAAATTAAAATATCTGAGCACATCAAGTTTTAGCCACACCTTTTCACATTTTAATCTCCCTGAAAACTAAATGCATCTAATAACTGAAGGCATCATACAGATGCTATTGACCACAAAGCAATTTGACAGTTGTCACTG